ACCCTATCTTCTTATATTGGGAACTCCTCTACATAAATTCGTAAGTAATGGGTCTAATATTTCCATCCACGCTTCCTACCTATCCAACATATCCTTTATATCTTCAAACATCCTTTTGAACCATCGTATTATCTTCTTCGATATGTTGAGTTGATGTTCCTGCTTGATATAGAATCATCCGTGTCAGACATCCTAAATCAATAGTAATATTTGTCTCATGTGTATATGCTCGTGTATCACTTAAATTGGCTTTTTCCCTCTAATAGTCTCACTACTCTTTCCCTTTTTCACTCAATGCTTTCGCCAAGCGCTTCAAAGAACTAATTCGATCTCAATCAAAATTTATTCTTGAAGATTCAAACTAAGATGTAAGTGAGAAATTTGTAACTTTAGAAGACTCAAGAAAGAAACAGTGGAAGCAAATGAACTTGACACTTTGAATGAGAACTAGTATTTAATCCAAGAAAGTAGTTCTTGAATTTGGAATGACGCTTTTGATTTTTTTGGGCTATTTCTTTTCCTTTTTTTTGTAACTGCCATTTTTTTGATAAATGCAAGAGAATTTAACAAGGAGCCCAAAAATTCGAAAAGAAATTGATTTGGACACTAAATTAATGCACAAACAATTTTTGAAATTGTTTGGAATATTTGTTGAATTGAAACACTCAAAAGATGAGAATACAAAGAACACGAAGAACAAAATGAAAAGAAAACAAAGAATCAAACAAATGAGAAAAAGATAGTAACTCCCGATATAGCAGTCAAGGCAAGACGTATAGATGGATCAACTCATCAAGTTCCCATAGAAATAGGATCCACACAAAGAAAAGCACTTGCCATTTGTTGATTATTAAACCTTAATTTTTGAAACACAAGCTCTAATTGTTTGAACGTTATAAGAAAATAATTCTTGATAAGTTCGGAATTAGTTCAATGAAGAAAAAGGAATTGAAAGTAAATTGCTCGCAAAATAATCTTTCCTATTGAATTAATGAATGAATGAATTAATGCAATGAAATAATGAGTTCTATTTATAGAAAATCCATAAAGCCTAGATAAAAAGGAAATTAAAGTCTAATAATACTAAAAGTTAACATAAACTGGAGTTCTGGCAAAATAAAGATTTCATATGCCTCGTTAAAACGATATCAAATTCTAAGTATTATAAAAGATACTAAAAATATAGAATTTAAACTAAATTAGGAAATTTCACGAAATTGAAAACTTCACGTATCCAAGTTGTGCTATGCGGCCGGAAGGTACTAAGAGTTGAGATCGCATAGTTCGAAACATTTCACAAGTTGGAATTCTATTTGTGGGCATGCGACCACATGCCAATTGCAACTATGTGGTCACATAGTTGTAATCTTCAACTCCTTCATCCGTTGCTCGAATAAAGTTGATCCACTTTGTTTCTTCTCTCGAGCCCAACATGAAACTTATTCCTTTCCTTGTCAAGATCAATGTTTCGCCCATTGTAGTTTGCACTAGTAATCACATCGCTTTTTTAATCCACTTTGCCTATAACCTATTTATCGGTCATTCTTCAACGATTAATGGATTCTTTCCATGGATTACATCAGCAGAGGAGGTGGTGAGCTCCGGGGGGGGGGGGGGGGGGTTGTCAAAAATAAAATTAGTCCATATTTGATACAGAATCAAATTTGATAAAAAATTTAAATAAGAGTCAACAATTAATTTTAACAATACATTTCATAACCCTCAACTTTTCAACTATATAATTTATCAATTTTTATCAAAATTTATTAAAAATCTAATTTAAATTCACAACAAATAGAGGCTTGTACAAATAAATGGCAAAATTCTTATTGATTAGTGAACCAAACAAGATAAAATCAAGGGTAGTTGGCACAAAACATCCATACCTTTTAATGTTATTGTGCAAAATGTCTCTACTTTTCATTTTTTGACATTTTTACCCCTATCTGCCACCTTTTATTGCTCAAAATATTATTTTCATTCATTTTTTACGATTTTACCATTCTATTTAAATAAAACAAAAATAAAAGAAAAGAAAAAAACAATGAACTAATTGATTTTTAATAATATTTTTAACTCATTTGTAATTTTTTGAAAATTTGGGACTTTGATTGCAATTAGCTCACATTTTTTTCTTTTCTTTTCTTTTTGTTTTATTTAAATAGAAGGGTAAAATCGTCAAAAATTGATGAAATTGACATTTTGAGCAATGAAAGGTGGAAGGTAGGGTGAAAATGTCAAAAAATAAAAGTTAGAGACGTACAATAACATTTAAAGTAAGAACGTTTTGTGCCAATTATCCATAAAACAATTTAATTCTGCTCGCTCTTATTGGCCAATCAAGCCAAGCATAACGACAGACCAGGAGTCAAGTTAAAAATAAAATCATATAATAGTTTTATGTTATGCTGATTTAAGAAATTAATAAAACGACAAGTTTGACCGATCTGCTTGACAGTTGAAAACAGAGGTGCATCATTGCACGCACTTACACAAATAAATTAATTTATTAAAGAATTTTATCCACTAATTTCGTAAAAATTAAAAATATTACACTGCCCTCTGATAATTGACCAGATCTTGACTGCACCACAAATTAAACCAATTAATTGACACCAGAAATATGGCACCGTCCAACATTATCCTCTCCAGCGCCCATAGTTTTTAATTTCTCGTTTGTGTTACATTAGAGAACGAAACTTGAAACCCATCCAGGTAGAGGTATAAACCGTGTGTCGAAAATTATTGATCTGATGTCTTTAATTGAGAAAACTCATCATATGAATCTTTCTCACTTTCAATTACCCCCTAAATTTATAAGTTCATTTTAATTTTGCAAAGCTATTTTGAATTAATAATGCTATTTGCAATCACTCACTATTGCAGTCGTTCTACGTGGCACGCATGTGACGGTTAGTAATTTGATATATGTGGAAAGAAAAAATTATAAAATTAAAATACCAAATCAGAAACTGCTATGTAGGATGTCACGTAGGACGATTACCGCAGTGAATAATTATAAATAGCATTACTCATTTTTGAATCACTACTGCTTAATGCTATTTTTTGTGCCAATGGACTCTTATATTTAGCTTCTGTTTGGTGGGGGATTAAAATTAAATTTTTAGTAGATTTTGATAAAAATTTTTGAAATGTGTAATTGAAAAGTTGTTGAACCTATGAAATGTGTGGTTAATATTGATTGTTCGACTTTAACGTAGATTAAAATTTGATTTAAACCAATACCATATAGGGGCTTAGAATAGTGCCGCTTAACTTTATTGAATCAAAATATATACGAGTCCAAGGGCGGATGTAGGGAGGACAATTCACTCTAGTCCTCAAATAATTTTAATTTTTTTTCTATATGTTAGCTCGATTTGAAAGTTTTTTTTAGTCCAATCCTGAATTGGCTGAGTTCTACCCTTTTTAAGCTCTTGTTTGAGCCTCATTTTTTCATCAAAATACATTTTCCAAAAGTGATTTGATCTCACTTCAATAATACATTTTTCAATAAAATAATATTACACACAAATTTAAAATTATTCTTTCTTTTTTAACCACATATTTTTCATCAATAAACTATTTAAAAATGTATTTTTTTTATTTACAAGAATGAGACTCAAAAGAAGGTGATAGTGTGGTATATGGACACCATTGAATCAATTGAATATGATTCACCTTTTCTCTTATGAAATTTATTTTCTTTATTTGTTAGGTAGGTTGCACATATTGCATCCCATGAGAAGTGAGAACCACTTATATTTTTGCATATATTATGTTTCCACAGACTAATTTTTGGCCCACAGATATAACATAGTTGGCCGGTAGTTTTTTCTATTAATAGAATAGAAACGGAAGAATCAAATCGTACAACACATTGACACTATGCGCCCACTAAACAAATATCAAAAGTATAATCAAAATATTAAAATTTTAGTTTATTTTGATTGGATCATTGAGTTTCGAATTTTGATAATTTTGTATCTTATGAAATTATTTAATAGATAATGCTACATATACATAATTTTTTTAATCTAATTATTTACCTTCTATTCACAATAGAAAATAGGGATCACGTTTGTGAATTTTTATATTCACGCAGGGCTCGCGTGCATTGTGAGGGGGCAATTTTCGGTAGAATAATTCGGTACAAATAGAATTATTCTTATTTAATTGGCAACAGAACTTGCTCAACATCTAGGCACATTAGACGATTGCCCAAGATCCCATATATAGTTAGAAGTCCCAATTTTTTAAAAATTTCATCCCAAATAAATTTCCGGAGAAATCTCCTAGTCAGATTTATATCTTTAAAAAAAAAAAAAATTAGTTTATAGACAAATTTTGTTAGTGAACTAAAGTATAATGAATATTATTGACAGAAATGTCAATACGTAACAATATAATAATTAAAAATAATAATGGAGTTTTTGTAGGCAATAAAAAATTATGTTAATAAATTTAAATACTGATAAATTGTGAAATAAACTAATAAAATAGGAAAAATAAAAATATTACTTCAAACAATCATGTTAAAATTAATAAAAATTAACAAAGTAATTTAAGATTACGATACTATTTTCGTCTTTCAATAGTCATGACTCTTGTTGCTAGGTATTAATGTTAATTGTCAACTAAAGCCTTGTTTTGTCTCATTACATTACATTACATTTCATCTTTTTCTATTTCATTTTCAATCACACAATCTTTCATAAAATAAAATGAAATATTTTCTTTCTTTTTCAACCATTCATTTTTAAAAAAAATACTATTCCACTTATTTTTATTTCAAAAAAATGGGGGGCCAAACGGAGCCTAAGTAATTTTCATCATATGCAGTGGCAGATCTAGGGAATTGGGCTGGGCTTCAACCCAGTCCCCCAAGCCCATTTCAAATTTTTTAGGGAATTTTTTAACATTTTTTTTTTATATGTGAAATATATATATATTTTTAAACTTGGCTTAAATTTTTTAGTCCGACCTGAATTCGCCCTTGTCACACTTTAGTTGACTGTTGACATTTTTTTTATGATCATGTCCTATTCAAATATGTATTGCACTTTGTTCATCATTTTTCCAGTTGGAAAATCCATGCTGATTAAAAGAAATTTCTTTGTGCTATTGCTGTCGTGGGTGTTCAGCTTTTTGTCGTCTCTACTGCCTTTTCTTGTATCAATAAAATGTCAGTTTCAGTTTGGGTATATCTATCTTTTTCCCTTCTTTAAACCTTTCCACCTCAAACAGTAATGATGATTTTCTCGTTAAGGGTATCCTTATTCAGGAGAATCTGAGGCATTTTTCCTTAACAGAACAGAACCACCCATTATATCACCAGATTAGTATAGCATCACATTGACTTGATTTTGTTCTTTCTCATATTCAAATCTCTTATCAGTTTCTGGGTTCCGCATCGACATGTCTCAAACAAGGCCACTTCGAAACAACGTACAGTTCAGTGACTCCACCTATACGAAAATCTTTGTTGGTGGGTTGGCTTGGAAAACTCAGAGAGACACAATGAAACTTTACTTTGAGCAGTTTGGAGAAATTCTTGAAGCTGTTGTTATTACTGATAAAAATACTGGAAGATCTAAAGGCTACGGTTTTGTATGAAACCATTTTTACTTAGATTTTCGATAATTATTTCAAGATTCATAAGCATTTTGTTTGTAACTGTGTTTTTGTAGGTTACGTTTAAGGATCCAGATTCAGCCATGAGGGCTTGTCACAACCCTTCTCCTGTAATTGATGGAAGGACAGCAAATTGCAATCTTGCATCACTTGGTGCCAACAAGAATCGTCCCCCCGTTCCTCACCATGGTCCTTGTTTCTCTCTTAGGACTCGTAGATGTCGGATAAATTTCGCACCAATTGGAGACTTTTCCAATTCACACCTATAGAAATATCTCGTAATTTCAACAGTAGATACATTTTATTTCTAATCCTTAATCTGTCTTCGATTTTACAGGGATGGGTAGACTTAGAGCAACATCTGGATTCATGACACAACCCTTTTTTCAAGGCTCTTCGTCGACGTATTTCCATCATTCGACTCCTCATCCTTACTCGGCCTATGGGTACTTAAATATTTTGTAGCTATACTTATTGATCTCTAGATAACCGTTGAAACTGATCTCCTTCCCCCAGTGGATATGTTTGTGGCGTCAGCAGTTGAAAGTTTTTATCTTGCCCACCTGATATAACCTTTGCATTTATAATGATATAGGTACACCGGATACTACTCTCAAGATGCTATGTACAATAACATGGTTAGCTTTTCCTCTTCATTTCTTGTTTATTAAGTAAATTCCATGACTGCATTGCTTTCGAGTGTTCATCTAAATCTGATGACATTGCACGCACAGAACTATTACGGTTTATATAGGGGACAGCATTGGATGTACCCTAATTTTTATCCGACGTACAATCAATATTCCCAAAGCGGCCAAGCGCCAGGTTTTGGAGTTCAGTATCCTCAAATGTTACAGTATTCATATTTATCCTCTCCTGTGATAGTTCCTTCTTCAGGGGCTATGGCAACAACCAGCACAGGTTGTACATTTTACTGATTTTTTGTTACAAAATTAATTATTGAAATAGATTTAGACTAGTAAACTTATTGAGATTTGTGACATTCCAGATTCGACCATAACTGCCAACATGGTGCAAGATGCTATCTCCGAATAGAATTCGTCTCAGACAACATACATAAATTCTTCCTGAAGACTAACAAGATATCGAAACATTTTAGAGTCTCGACACTTGATTCGTTTTCGATTTAATCTCGACTAGTTGCTATTTATTCTTGTAGTCGAATGATCTTTGTCTTCACCTACAGTGCCAAGGACAGGATCAGACGATTGTTTCTCTGAAGGCAGAGAGCACCTGATCACATGCATTTTTTCATAATAGGCTAGGCTGGTTCAAAGTTAATTTTGTACCTTTGAACCTCAAATTAAATGGTTGGCTTGGCCAGTAACATTTAATTTGTCTTCTACTTTGGATGTTCATAATTTTATGCTTTTGTTAGATACATTTGATAGAAAAGAAAATAGCAATGCTCCTTGTATATTCCTTTTTGACTTGTTATCTTTTCATACAATCTTTTATCCCCTTTTGGAGGGTTCTAGACTAATGTGTTTGGTATCCAATGAATGATGGAATTATTATGTGTCTTCACTTTTTGCTGGCATTGTAGAACAAGGAATTATTAGACGAGTAATGCTACATATACAGGGAAAATTACATACTGGTGTACAGGTGGCGCAATTTCATTGCATTTCGGACAAAATACAAAGGTAAACCAACTAATCACTCTCTGCCACTTGAGCACTTGTACACCATTCTGTAAATTTTTCCATGTACAGGTAGCATTTTTTTTATTAGACATACGCAATGAACACAACCATTAATGATGGAGATGTGATGTTCTTGCAAGATTTTGTTGTCTTGGAAGAGGTCAAGTTGACCCTAATCGAAAATGGTATTTCTTTTAAATTTATTTGGTCTCTATTGATATGGGTCGAGTGCCAGATGTCAAGCAATTAAGTTTTTCCATTTTTTGACTTGGGAGGTGCGACATTGTTTTTTGCCAAATTTTATAAATATTGAAAATATGTACATATAGAAGTATGAGAACTTACCTCCAAAGAGTTTACATCCCGAATAAAAGATGATCTAAGCAATGTATAAGAAAATATATGAAAGAATCTATAGAAAATATTGAAAAAATGAACTCTACTTCAATCTTAAATTAGGCCATCTCTATTATCTACCCATATAGTTCCTAATAATTCTCCAGCCTAAATTTCAAGTGAATAAAGTCTTGGAGGTCCTCTCTTAATATATAATAGTATTCCTCGACCAATTTATTACTAAATTTCCCTTCTCCAAATGTGAGAGAATGAAATTGTCCTTTTTTATGCCATGTTGAACGATTGTTAATTTTATTTTAAAGAAAAAAAAATTAGAAGCAAGTTTTTTGGTTAAATTGAAGTAGGTTTTAAATAACAAATTGAATGACGAAAGCAGCAACTTCATTATAGGGATGTAAACAATAGTCGTCAAATAGGAAAAATCGAACCTAAATCATTTTATGAAATTGATGGTTTGGCGTCACATGGACCCCATTAACGAAGTGCTTTGAAACTTTCCTTTGATTTTGTTGGTATATATATATATATCTCATTTTTTTAATTATCATCAATAAAGTATTGAAATATTTTATAATCACTGAATGTGAACAGAGAAAAAAAAAAGCGTCAAACTGTGATTTAAAATCGGACCAAACCATTAGGTTTAAATTTGAAAAAATCTTTAACCATTTTAAATTGTTTGGTTTATGTTCAAGTTTTTTTCCAAACTAATTAAAATTGTTTGATTTGAAAATTTGTGAACAACCAATCAAATCGGCCTCTTACACCCCGACCCATTACATCAGGAGAAGCCTGAGCAACAAACAAAATTATAGTTAGGTCTTATTGCCATTTTCTAAAAAGAGAATTTAAAAAATGAAAATTTTATGAGCAAGAGGATAACTATTGCTTATTTCAAAAGTAAGAAAAAAAGTTTCAAATTTTAAAAATCAGATATTCATTAAAATGTATTTATGATTTAATTAATTAATTATATATTTTATTAATTAAATATATTAAGTTCACAAATTTACAATTTAATTAGCCACATATTATTTTTCGATCACGAATTATAATTTTTTAATGTCACAAATTATTTTACAATCACAATTCAAGAATTTTACAGGTCAGAATTTGTTCATTGTTCACAGATTAAAAATTTACACGTCACAATTTATTTATAGGCCATAGATCACAAATATTATAGGTCACAACTTATTAAACAGTAAAAAATTATTAACTTTTTAGGTCACACATTATTTTTTAGCCACAAATTATATTTATCATTGGTCACATATTGTTTATTAATGAAAAAAATTAATATGAGATAAAAATAAGAAGATCAAACTTAATCTAATTAGAAAAATAGGCGGGCTTCATAATTGTCGAGCTTGATTTGCTTGGCCGCTTGGCTCAGCCCAGGCTTGTGGTAGAACAAGTGGACCAAGCTTTCATATGTTGACTTACCAAGTAGGCAGGTGGCTCGAGCTCAATGCCACTCTACATTGTATTTCCATAGCACTAGACTGTGGACAATAAAGGATTTTTTAACAATCTCGCTAGACGTACAAAGTGGGAGAGAGACACGATTTTGGATTTTAAGGTTTTTTTTTTTAACATTAATGCCACGCCAATTTGTCAACCTGCTTTGTGAACCCACTTTGTACGTCTAGCAAGATTGCAGCATTTTATTTCCAGCCATACACGTCACTTCGTCAAAGGTCCACGTAACCCAACTAGGTGCAAACAGCGTTGTTCATTTATTAAACAGGTGCGTCAAATTTAATGAAGTATGACCAGAGGAGGAAGAATGGACTATGTCCCCATTTGGCCCCCATTTTTTTAAATGAAGTGGAATATAATTTTTCTTTTTTGAAAAATGAGTGATTACAAAAGAAGGAAATTTTTTTTAATTTACGTGTAATATTATTTTATGAAAGATTGTGTGGTTGAAAATATGAAAGAGGAAAATGAAATGGAATTTAATGAACGCCAAACTAGGGCTGTAAAGGGTTAAAAAAACTTGAATTGTTCCATACTTTATACCTTGGGGAATGAAGTCTACAAGGTCATCTCCAACTCTGCACCCAAATTTGACATACGTTTTGCACCTAACTAAAAATTATATCCAATCTATTACACCAAAATTTGCACCAAGTGAAAAGTGTTTTATCATTTTTTTTTTTCATTTTTTTATTCTTAACAATTTATATATCTGAAAAATTATTTATTTATTTATTTTATTTACTACTATATAAATTACTACATAAATAATTACGTTTCATTAACGAAAATATTAAATTCATTAATAAATTTTTTAAAATGTAGTACAATTAATAAAATACCACAACTAAAAAAATATATTAAATCATGATGATAAAAATAAATTGAGTATTAAATCATAATAATAATAAATGATTGAAGTTTATTACAAATAATAATAACAACAACAACAACAGTATTAAAAAAATAATTATTATAATAATTAGTTAATAATTGAATTTTGTATAATATAAAATGAAATAAATACCCTTGACAACATTTGTTGTTGTGCAATGCTATTCACTTGCACATCTTTGATACAAAATTTGGTGTTGAGTTGAAGTGACATTATACCAAATATTTGGTACAAAATAGGGAAAATTGGTGTTTTGATGCAAGGGTTGGAGTTGCCATAAAATTTAAATTGTACGGCATTAATCCCTGCATCTTTCCACAACGAAAATGATGAGTCTACATAAAAAATTGCTTTCATGGCCATGAATTTCATCCAACTCAAAAACCTAAAAAACATGATTGGTCTCTAAACTATATACATTGCGATAAAAGGTCCCTAAACTTTAACATTGTACAATTTAGTCCTTTAACTTTTATTTCATCATGTTATTAAGTTTTAACATTGTGCACAAAAAGTCCCTTCGTTCGTTTCTTCCATTCCAACAAGTGAAAATGACGATTTTTCATACGATGGTTGTCCAACTCAGTCTCTTAAAAAAAAAAAAGTAGCTCAATGAATATACTTACGAGAGTAGTAGAAGAACTTAAAATATAGAAAGTGATGTACAGTACCCTCAATAAACTCAACCTTTTCTCCATTCTTTTGAGTTTGAGTATTAATTGGTCAAAGTTTATGTTCAAATATCATTATAACCTATTATTAGAAAATTCGTAATAGGATTCAACCAAGGCAAACTTGACATGGATTAATATAAAATTTTCGATCAAAAAAGATAGGTGCTTGACTCCTAGTATGAAAGATGTTCTCCTATTGCTTCTCCTCGTCATCTACTTTGATTTGTGTATTGAGAGCACGCATCATTATAAGTGATTCCCCTTCAACCAGGTACCCTACTACATAACCATCAATAGAACCTTCTAATTTAGGCACATCATCTCCATTGGCACGTAAGATCATTTCCCTTTTGTTTGGGTATTGAGAAGCAATGAGCCCCGATCACAAGCATTTAAAGCATTTGATGTCTCGACTCTTAGATGGTTGCGATTCTACTTTGAATGTAACCTTGCTAGCACTTTCCTCATTTCCCTTTGGTAGCTCAGTTCTACCTTTCGAAATGGCTCTATCCCCTATTTTGTTTTCCTAGTTCGATTTTCAAGAAGAGTTAGATCCTAAAGAACCTGATGGATATCTTGCTGTCTCCTTCCTCTTAAATTGTCTATCCACTTTCATAACTACATGTAGCATGTCCTTCAACTTTACATAATGTTGCAATTCCATTACATTAGCTATTTTTCTATTCAAACCATTTACAAACCTGGCCATAGTAGCCTCTCTATCATCCTCAACATTGGTTCCAATCATTATCATCTCCATTTCTTTATAATAGTCTTCTATACTCCTAGATCCTTGGTAGAGGCTTTGCAATTTTTGATGAAGCTCTTTATAGTAATGATTAGGTACAAACCTCTTCCTCGTAATAGCTTTCAATTCTTCCTATGTATTAATAGGTCTCTCACGATTCCTTCTCCTAGTTGTTACCACTTGATCCTACTAAGTCTATCGTAATCGGTAAATTCAAAGACTGCAATTTTTACCTTCTTTTCCTCCAAGTAGTTGTGGCAATCAAATATTAACTCTATCTTCTTCTTCCACTCCAAGTAGGCTTCAAGATCACTCATTCCTTTGAATGAAGGAATTGTCATTTTGATGTTGTCCATACTTCCATCAACTACATCTCTACTGAGATCTCTACCCCTCATTTCATGCCTAACTCCTCTATAACTTATTCGTCCTATCTCGAGATCCACTAATATTCTTTCATCAATGTCTCTACCAGCCTCATATTCTATTCGATTTTTCCACCCTAGACTCCTACTTACCCTATCTTCTTATATTGGGAACTCCTCTACATAAATTCGTAAGTAATGGGTCTAATATTTCCATCCACGCTTCCTACCTATCCAACATATCCTTTATATCTTCAAACATCCTTTTGAACCATCGTATTATCTTCTTCGATATGTTGAGTTGATGTTCCTGCTTGATATAGAATCATCCGTGTCAGACATCCTAAATCAATAGTAATA